GACGTCATATAATCTAATAACGATATTCTCGAACCCTTCACATAAAAAACAACTGATATTGTTACATTTTAAAGGCAATAACGTACTTACTAGCAGTGCTCTGGCGTTTCATTGTTAAAATTCCATGCACATTCTTGATCTCAGAAGTCTATAAGAATAGATTTCCTGATATCTACAAAAGAACCTATTTTTTAAGCTGGTAAGCATTCTTATGTGGATGTGAGCAAGACAGTTGAAACGTGATTTAGATATGAATTTAATAAAAATCAACAGAAGTTTCAAGATAAACCAGAAATACGATAAAATAAAACTAAAAGGGTAGGAGGGAACCTGGAAAAGCAACACTTACTGAATTCAGTGAAGAATAAACAACACAACCAGAGTTGTTTTGGCTACAGACAGAAAGGTATGAAGTAGATAAATGAAGCAGAAAAAATGAAAAATAATATTAGATTGAGCTACGTGGTTCTCTGTATTCAATCGCAAAATGAAAAACCCCTTTCAAATTGTCTATAAACGACCAACGTATGTTAGAGAATTGAAATAACTGACCAGGGACCTTCGAAAGAATGGAGAAAAAGATGAACAGGGGAGCAAAACACAAGGAATCCCAATGTCAGCTTTACTATAAGAAACGAAGAATATATTATGAACAGCATTATGTTTTACTTCTAATTCCCTTACAACTCAAAATTAATTGCACCCAATTAATTTTCGAAATTTTGCATTTCCATTGTTTTTTTTTCTCAATCGCTTTTTACGCAAAATAATCAGTTGGTAGGAAAACATTATGCCTTACTTGGCATCGACGTATAGACCCGAATTACATCGTATCTAACTTTCTGAACACTGAATTAATCACTTCGTTTGGCTTTGCAAAACCCGAATGTAAATTCAAAGTTTATCCTCTGATGTTTGTCTTATCTTCAACTCCACCACAATCAATATTAGCAGCGTTAGATTAGAACATGGAGCCTCTTGTGTATAATATGCCTGCTGTTTGTTACTTACTAAAATGACTGGTATGCGTGTGTTGTACTTGTTGTTTTGTCAACATAGCGTATTTCTCTTCGCTGTAGAAATTATTTAGAAGATATTTGGCAATTTGTCAGACCATGTATATTAAAGAACAAGATCTCCTTTCTTTGATCGCTGAAATGACTTGTTTTTTGTGTATGATAATTGATTTTTAATACTTAGAACTGGGAATTATTCCCGGCATTTCAAACTGTATGTCAGTTTTTCCGATGTATTTTTCTTTTAAAATATGTGATGAATGTCCAACATAAATGTACTCATTTATTGAAAGTGGTGTGAATACTTGACGACATAAACATCACTGCATATATGTATTATAATATTATTATAAAACAAAATCTTATCTACCTCGTCTGCCTGTCTGAACACGATAGACTGAAAACCACTGAACGGATTTTCTCAAGGTTTTCACCAACGTACGGAGCGATTCGAGAGGAAGATTTTTGTATATAATTCATCAATAGTTTGTCTAAATCGGTTAAAATATGGCGATGTCGTTTGTGCAAAGTCGAGGCGGTAATGTTGCACGTGCGAGACCTAAAAGTTTCAACGAAAACGCTGCCTAATTAATCCTTTTGAGATATTGTAACAAATTATAGAATTAACTGTCTTGAACAAATTTATTTTCAACAATATTCGACAAATCATAAACTAATTTATTCACAACACTTAGCAACTAACGCTTAATTTATTTCTATTTGAATTCCTTGTTTAACCGCTCGATTCACTTTCTAAACTCCCTCTTGGGTCGGGAAGCCGGGTTTATATAAATAACGGTTCTTTCTAGAAATATGTAGTCGGTTCGATACTCAACTAGAGTTTTACTTGCCGACTGCATTCCTTTTTCGGTGATGTCATGTGTTTGTTCGCTGGCCGGCATATCGGTCAGATTCGTTACTATATAACAAAACAATTCATTACCCATTGTTCTTATTTCATAGGTGTATATCCGCAATACCGTTAAATATGTCTATCTTTAACAGATACTGATTTTAAAATTCAACATAATGGTCACATAATGTGGTTATTGAAAATATATTTAGACTGACACGATATTGATCCTTACCAAATGAATACGTCAGTTACCATAAGCAGCTCATGTACATTATAATTGCTCTGGACACCATAAAATATAAATGAATATATTAGGAGTTATCGGTCGACAAATGAAAATTGAAGCTGCCTTACGCACAGAAATTTTCAATTGTGTTCGAGTTAGAGAGAGTAAGTTTGCTCAGTGTGATTTTTGTATATAATTCATCAAAAGTTTGTCTAAATCGGTTAAAATATGTCGTTTGTGCAAAGTCGAGGCGGTAATGTTGCACGTGCGAGACCTGAAAGTTTCAACGAAAACGCTGCCTAATTAATCCTTTTGAGATATTGTAACAAATTATAGAATTAACTGTCTTAAACAAATTTATTTTCAACAATATTCCACAAATCACAAACTAATTTATTCACAACACTTAGCAACTAACGCTTAATTTATTTCTACTATTTGAATTCCTTGTTTAACCGCTCGATTTTTGGTTTATAGTTCACTTGATAGAAATTTTAAATTGAAAAATAGTTTACTTTGTTTCATCTCTCTAAGTATCGTAGTTATCCCGTAATTAATTATTAAAAATCGAATTTGGTAGGTTGGTGACGTCACGACCCTATTCCCGCTTCTTGTATCATTGACCAATAGGAACAATAGAAATAATCGACCTTGCCAAATCGTAAAATTTATAGAGGCTATAATTATCAATTTATTTATGGAAGTGTATATGAACCCGTTAACGTTTCAATTAATGAAAAATTCTACACATGAAATAAAATGTATACGAAAAATCATGTTTGGAACTATGTTCTATATCTAAAATCAGTATACAAATTCGAAGGATTACAAAATATTTACCCAAACTATGACTTTACTCATTATTTAATAATATACAGTTATGAAAATCAAAAAATATAGCAAACTGGATTAAAGAATCATTTCAAATATTCAATTTATTCTACAATCCTCAATCTGTACAATTGCAATTTATTATGAAAAAAAAACAATTCCTACATACATACCTACCTACATAGTAAATTCAAGCTTTATAGACTCGCTTGAGTAATCTGTTGAATCTTCCAAAACTTGAGAGACAGGTAAATGATAAAATTTAATGAAGTAAAATGAAAAGCATTTGATTTTTTTGCAAAAATATTAATTCATTTTCTTTCATACTTTCAGTTTTAACTCCTCTGTAGTGTATGCGACAATGTGCACGAGACAAGTCCATTGCTCTGAACACCATAAAATATAAATGAATATAATAGGAGTTATCGTAAAATTGAAGTTATCCGTCGACAAATGAAAATTGAAGCTGCCTCACACACAGAAATTTTCAATTGTGAGTTAGAGGGAGAAAAGTTTACTCAGTGTTCCACTTTTCTTCTTCTTATTTCTGAAATTGTAAAATTTACACATGCGCAGTTTGCACTTTGCAGAGTTTAATTTTGTTGTTCACTCATCCAATATTTTCAGTTACTCGTTTATTATACCGAAAGTTGATTTTTTAAAATTAGATGAGTTAAAACATTAAATAAGTAGTGGTATCGGAAAGTCTCGTGGTGGCCGTGGTAGTGAACGGATGTGCTGATAACGTCCGTCCACAAAGAAGGTACGTGGATGCCATGTGCTGTCGTGGGGCTTCGTTTTGTGTTGTGTTGTTCTAGTCCTTGTAATGAATACTGAAATGTGTAAGAGTTTTTTTAAAAAAAGTGAAGTTTAAGGGCTCCATTATTCACACCGGTATCCAGGCCGGAGTGGTTCGGATAACCACGTTAAGGAGCCATATATGTGAATTCAAAAATCAGACGGTCTCCCGAAGAGAAGATGACCCAATAAATATAAATGTAATAAATCAAAAGGTCTCCTGATAAGGAGGCGACAGTAAAATAGCACATCGTTTTTTATTATGGAAAGTGTGACAAAAAAGGGGTGGCAGCATTGCTTCGAGCAAGACCGCTGCGCCCCCCCGATGAAGCTTCTGTCAATTTAATAGGAGGAGCCTGGACAAATGCGCCCGAGTGGGAAGCAACGTCCATAAAATTAGAGAGAGAGAGAGAAGTAGCGGTACAATTTCGAGGAGATATACAACGAGCATTTTAAATAAATTGATGAATGTAGCCGTAGATCTACATCTCCTACGTGGTAGGAAAACATCTTGGAAATTGAGAAACTTCCTATGTTTTTATAGCACTTGTATTGGTAACTAACGTTACTGCAGATTCGCCCTACAATGACATTTTCAAACTAATACAATATTCCTTATAGGCATATGACAACGTACATACATCCAGCCACTAGAGCCTTTTTTCCAACTTGAGTCTCTTTTAGATCAATCATGCCGCAAATAACAACACTGATTAAAATTGGTTTTGTTTTACACAGTGAATCACTTTGAAGATTAAAGTATCATTTCTATTCAGTGTTGTCTTTAGATTGTTAAGTACGTATCTATTTCAAAATCAAAATGTGTGGACATACTTTTGTTTGAGTGAATTTTATCAAAGGTTATTATTATTAATAGCAACTAATCTAAGAATCAGTGGAACAATCAGTAACAATATTTAGGCCTGATTTGTACCTGTTGGGTACGTGTTCTAATCATTACCTGTTGAGTGGCCGTATCATAGAAGGTAGAAAGGGGTGCCAAATTTTGACTTCTGATTGGTAATCGGTTGAGAAATGAATGCATACGTCTAATAACTTTTTTCAAAAACTAGCTCGGGCCCTTGAGACGAATAATTACCGAAAATGCCATTATTTCGTGTCAAAGAAACATTGATAACCCAACATGATGAAACTCGACCGCGATAGCCTCACTCAATATATTGACACCGGCCCTGTTCATGCTAGTATCAAAACGCCGGTCGGACTGATATGATATGCTTAATTGTTTTTCGTTTGGCAACGTCGCATCAGTAATACAAACTCACTAAACTCTGTGAGAACGACTGCCACAACGTCGATTGGCTGCACGTTGTTGTAGACGCCGTCGACAAACTACCAACCGCATTTTATGCTGTTTGCTTCTCAATTTTATACACGCTCTAGTGCAGAATTGTGTGCGTTGGAAATTAGTGATTCCAAATTTGGATTTATTAGCCAGAGTTACGTGCCTTTGTGAAATCATTTACTCGTGAGTATTTCAGTTATTCCTAATATTTTCGACGTAGTTGTTTCTGTGTGCATATAGAAATAGACACGTGTGTGTGTGTGTGCCCGCGTAGCCATGATGGTTGCGTTTGTCGATTGTTTTGTGTAGTTTCTTGTGAGTTTTATAATTACATATAACAAAAAACAACGCTTTAAAGTTTGACGTAAAGTTTTCTTTCGTTATGAAATGTCTATGTGTGTTTTGTCGAATACTAGTATTTATAGGTAGACAATCATTCGCCGGTAATTCTAGGCGGGCTTTTGCTGTAACTACCTAATACGTTTGTACATGCCACCACTGAAGGTGGATTGAATTGCTGTGCACTTATAAATTGCTCTTCAAAACCATATATTTATACAGGGCGACTCGCATTAATTTGCGAAGTATTCACTGAAAATTTTATTTTAATTTTCTATCATTTTATCACTATCAATTCCAATCTCATTACCCAATTTATCCGCCTCATTATTTAAAATGTTAGTGATAAAGTTTGTTTCTGAAAGACACTAGGTATGTACTTTAAAAAATATATAAGTGGCATGAGTGATCTAGTTAATTAGATGAGTTGTGCAATAAATGCAGAAAGCAATGAGGTAGCAATGGATTATGCATTCATAACACTGCAAACTATTTAAATACTCGATAGTTACTTCACGTTACAGCCTACAATCGTCATATTTTTCAAGATATACTCAAAAGTATACAGAGTTTGTGAAAATAAATGGCCTTTAGGTGGGGATGAAAAATAATTTCAGCTGTCGTCTCTATTCCATTTATGAAACACCGAAAAATCCTAAAATTTTGTCGCATTATTTTCATCAGGTAATTAATTGGATTGATATCAAACCATACGGTATGATAATCTAAATATTTATTTTTGAACTGGCTCACAGAGGCGGACTTTTAAAACTTGTGTCTAATGTCTCCTGATATTGACCATTCGAAATGTTTTAAAGATTTGTAAATATTTAGTGGATTTTGAAGGGAAGAAATATACATTTTGAATTTGTGTGGTTGAGATTTAGAGTAATTGGCTAAATTTCGTTAATGGAATTGTTTTATAGTTTTCGTTTTAATCCATTAACGAAGTTTATTCTTCGATTCATTCAAAGTTTTTTTACGAGGAAGCTATACGTTCATATTCATATATTTCAGCAACGTCTCTCCAGGTATTTATAATAAAGTTCTGTTGTAGATAGTCTCACCACAGTTGAATAAACCACCTATAGCATAATACCTAGTGAGCTAAAATAATCCCTGTTGAAATACTTTGAGATACTAAATATTTCGAATGGAATGTTCTCGTAGATTAATCACTTTCGCTTTCAACGGAAGATCTATTCAAAACAACAACTCTCAAGTCGAAGCGCAAGTTGAAGATTAACGAGGTCGTACCTTTCAACGTGTCCGTTAAAACAATAGCAAGCAACATGCAAGTAAAACAATTATTCATAGCAATCATGCTCGGCAACATCATGAAAAATTACTCGTAGAAATTATGTGAATGGCCTTGAATGAAATTTTTAAAAGTGGGAAGTGTTGAGAATAATAATTGATTTATCCGACCGAGATGATGGGTGGTAGTTAATACTGATCAACTACCTCAAAAGCGTTTGCCCTCAAAATAAAAAACGTTTGTAGAGATTTTTTCTGAACGCTAACTATGAGAAATTAGTCTTGTTTCGGTTCCATAAGTTCACCCCGTATAACCTTTTATGCAACTGATTTCTGAAAACTCTTCCCTTTTTTATGACTTGTGGACAAGGGTATTAGCTTCACTTCGCCAGTAAAATAGAACACATTCAGAGACAACAAAATTTGGACCGAATTCGTGATCGAATGGAACTCGAGTACCAAACGTTTCGTATGTTACTGCGTTAGACATCATCAGTGGTATGGGCGTTGACTGCCGACTGAAATTTGTTTGTTTCTTGTAATTTGTAAGAAAATGTTTGGTTTTGCCAGTAAACACTTTCTGTCACTTGTCAAAGTCAATCACCGTTTCTTTTTTTACGAAAAATAATCTTCATCAGATGTGTCGTAAGCTAATCAGTGACGTCAGTTGACAGATTTTACTATTTCGGTGAAATTAATCTGATGAAAAATAAAACTCGCGTATATTTACCAAACCACTTTGGTGTACTTGAGTTTTTTTAATCCTAAAATCTCAATTGTGAACAACCTTCAAGTAATTATTCTTGGTAAAAATAGCATTTGGAATCGTCAAAGAATTTACCGTTTCCGTTTGAAAATAACGTCTGCCATTCTCCATAAAAGAGATGACGCCTACTTGAATTGTCTGAATGAATCGAATGAAGTATTCTTATATTGTCAGTAACCTTGTCCATTCATATTGAGTGAGGAAGCTCATTCATTGTTTTTGATTGAAATATTCCGTTTTCATTATCTATTTGTTGGACCAGGTCATCGCCTCTTCAAAATTTGAATTATTTATTTTAGTACTAATGGAACAGTTATAATTATGAATACTATTTATAGAGAAATATTTGAATAGAATCGTCGAAAACGTTATTTCTATAGAAATGAAAACTCATAAGTATATCATTAGTAAAGATTGATTTTTGAGAAAGTTTTTGTCCTTCTACTTCTCAATCTTGATATAAAAAAATGTGGGAAACTTCCAAAGAAAGGAAGGAAGCAATCAATTTCAAAAATTAACCCTATACATGTGTAGATCATGCAAAGAAGTAACTTTCAGACACAAACTGGAAGGCTATTTTCATATAAACATTGAGTTATACGAAAAAAATACTTTCGAAACAAATACTTTTACATGAACGTTTATATTCCAAACATTCGTATTGGGATCGGATCAGATATCATTCACAGGATTCCTACACAATATAATTAATGAAAGAAGTAGTATTTCACTTACATGGGACACTGTCATCTCTACTGGTGCCTTTTAGGCTCTTCAGTAGCAAATAATTAAATGACACTTCATTCCTTTATAACTTTTTTAATAACGAACAGTGGTGTGGTAAGACTTTGAAAAATGTTTTTTTCTATTTTTTTGTGAAAATTCGGTCTTGAAATTTAGTGTTCTAATTGATTTCTCTAAAAAATCGAATACTTATATGTTTCATAAAGATGTTTTCATTTTATTTATACAAAAGAGCAGATATATATTAAATAATTCAAAATTATTAATCAACTATCAAGAAATGGGACCAGTACTCGTGAGAATAAAGTTTGAACACTATACTTTTTTATGGCATATTAAAGGAGTATTTTACAATGGGGTGTATTCGTGAATGATATCCCAAATGAGAATATCATTTAATTCCATAACAAGAAGCAACATTGAAGAAGCATTAAAAAATATTGCATGTTTTTTTATTTTAGTTAGAATATCGAGTGATTAAAAATTAAAAATTGTTTATATGACATTATTCCATGACTACTGTTACTCAAGCTTAATCAACTACTCTACAAACTGTCTTACAAATTGGGGCTATTTAAGTTTCCTTCTATTCTCATAATTTTGTTGGACGTTGCTTCCTACTCGAGCGCATTTGTCCAGGCTCCTCCTATCAAAGATGACAGGAGCTTTGCCGGGGAGATTGGGGGGGTTGCGGTCTTGCTCGAAGCATTAACTTTTTGACGCTTTTTTATTGTCGGTTTCTGCTTGGAAGGCCTTTTGATTTTTTCACATATATTTTTTGAGTCGCCTCCTCTTCGGGTGACCTTCGGTTTTTTAAATTCAAATACATGGCCCCCTTTACGTGGGCCCGGCCTGGATACCGGCGTGAATAAAGGGGGCCTTCACTTCACATTTTTGTCTAAACTTTCACATAAACTTCAACATCTTTTCACAATAGAGAATCACAACATAAATAGAAGCCCCGCCATAGCACGTGGCATCCGCGTACCTTCTTTGTGGACGGACGTTATCGGCGCGTCCGCCAACTACGACTGCCACCACGAAACTCAAAACAAATCTAATTTTGTACTTTTTGTATTAACGGAGATTTCTGCAAAAAACATATGAGATCTTAATTGCACAGATTTTTATTATGAACAAAATGGTGACTCATTTTATCACATATTCCAGATATACAGGTCGTTTTTTTAGCTGATTCCACTATTGCTATCTCGGATACGAGAAATATTCAGCGAAATTTTCGCAAAAAACTAGAATTGTCGAATTCCGGTTTTTGGCTCTACCGCTTCCATTTCGTATGATAAATACTCTGAACCAATTTACAACTTGACGTTTCGTTCATTAGATTTTATCATCAACTTAATTTTTTCAAATACAGTCCTTTATTTTTTGTCTTCGATTTTTGTAGAACTTTAATAAAAATTAGTGGGATCAGATGAAAAACGGCACGTATAAAAAAGGGGTTTTTGATCATTTATCTTTCATACCCTAATTTCCTTGAGCTCATCAAAGGTTATTTTCGTAAACTCACAGTTTGATGTTTCCCTTGAGAATTATGAAAGAAAAGTGCGTGATGAGAAACAACTACCTTTGAACCTCTTTCACGAAATTCAAGTTAGGTATTCCAAATGTAAGCAATTAATATTCCCAACTCGTTAGCAATCTGTATACATTTCGAATTAAACCCGTGAAACAACCAAAATCTCGACCGAAATAGACTTTTCGTATTAATGGACGAAGATGTAATCTGGAGTCCTTGAAATGACGATGATATAGTTGGAATTCGAGTCGCGCCCTCTAATTTGTTAGTATAACATTACGCGGTGGAATGAACTTGGATGGACGTAACGTGCTGAAACCAGTTTAGAGAAAAAGCGAAAACCAGCTAGACGAGTTGTCGGTTCGAAAAATTTTCCTAGTTGAAAAAATGGAATGTACAGGACGTTGCCAGTTATTCGGAAAAAATGGAAATGCCTTTGAGTGCTATTTTGCTTCCTAAGAAGTTTGAAATGTTTTTTTTTGTTGCGGAGGCTTATTCAAATATCAAGAAAATTATATAGAGGTCATTGGCTCTGTATGACTCAACATTCAATATTTGAACTGAAACAGGATATCTCGTTTCGTGTTGGGAATTGATGAATTGAGTATGTAAATTGCGCTCATAAATTCTTCATTTCTTGAACACTCATTTTAATAATTTTGGTAATAGCGACATTGTTATTAATCTCTCTCACATGGGATGAGTAAAAACTGGTGCTGGCTATTTACGAGCTCAGATATAGGTATATTTAAATAAATTAGTTTACTGGAATTTTCAATGCAATTTATAAAACATTCCCTACAAATTTGACGATAAAAGATGTCATGTTGCCCTTTTTATGGCGTATTAAAATGGCATTTTGAAACTATTTGAACAATTGTGTAATACATTAGTGAAGTTGTCGCCAAAAAGACTGATTCATACCAGCTGAATATTTTTTCCGATCCATATAGAAGATAGAACTTGCGGTTTCTCGGAGACAATTTAAAAATTGTGGAATAGGAAAAAATCGCGCGGGGGGGCAAATCTGGTGAACACGGTGGCTGAGGCATGATCACGGTGTTGTTATTATGATCCTTTTAAGCAAATCTGGGTCGCCGTTGACGTCATTCAACAATTCCTGAGCGATACTCATGCGACGGTTTATTTGGCCAAAATTCAGCGATTTTGCAACGAACTTTGCTGCCAACCGCTTCATGCCCGAAATTTCCGAAAAAAATGCATGGCATGAGCCAACCGATATGCCGGTATCCTCAGCAACTTTTCTGATAGTGCTTCGATGATTCTCCATAACAATGTTCTTCACTTTTTCAACATTTTCATCGGTAATTGATGTGCAGGGGCCTCCCAAGGCGAGCGTCGTCATTTACATCTTCTTGACCTATTTTTTTCTGTTAGTTTTCTCCTCTGTCGTTCAATATATTTTGGTATATATTGTAACAAATCTGAAGCCGCTTTTGACCCGTACGCCAGCCGATTCATCGAATAAATGCATGACTCACCGCAAAAGAATGCAGTCTGAAACCGCCGGGAAAATTCCAGGCGAGTACCGAACAGACTACAGAATTCTACAATGGACCTTTACCGATATATAAGGCCGGCTCTTGTCCAGAGAGGGCAGTTGAATTCAGAAAGTGGATCGAGCGGTTAAACAAGGAATTCAAATAGTGAAGATAAATTAAGCGTTAGTTGCTGAGTGTTGTAAATAAATTAGTTTATGATAGTGAAACTTTGTTGGAAATAAATTTGTTTAAGACAGTTAATTTTTAATTTGACACAATATTATGTTTTTATGTACTTTGAGTTTCATGCATAGAATCATGCATGAAACTCAAAGTATGGTTGGTTTAAATTCGTTAAAATTCGTTTTCAGTTAAACAGCTGTCGCCTCCATATGAACGACCTGAGGATTAACAAGGTCTTACCTTTCAACATACGATTCCTAGTTCATTATGTGTTATATGAGAATCATTATAGTTGTTTAGCGCATGGAAGATTCTTGTCGTATCGCCCTGATTTAATTAATAAAATAATCCTCGAAAGGTAAAGGTATCTTTCAGTGAGTACAATAATCAACTATTTTACAAAAACTAATTATTAATTATCCGATCTAAGGACAGACAAATATATTAACTCTACTTTGTTAATAAAAACGTGCAGCTTTATGAATAGCCTGCATTCATTTTCATTTCCTTAGTGACATAAATGTAATGAATAAAATTTTAAGGCTAAAGAATTCCGAGTGTGTTACAGATTTTCTCCTCTTTGATGCAATTAACTTTATAATATTTATATGAGTGAGTTATATTTTGAGTATTACTCAACTGGTATTTGCAACTCGTGTTCCCTTGATGATTTTGTTTTTTCAATACCTCACTATTTGATAATTGCAATTAACAAAAATTCGGCAATTACGATAGTGTTCACCAAAATGTATTACATGAAAATAAAATTGCTTAACGTCAATGATGTTGTAATCGCCCGCAGCAAAAAAAAATGGTAATTTAGCGAAGTTAGCGTTTTCTAAAAATATAATTCATTTGAAAATTATTATTCTACATTCGGGGCTTCAGCAGGAATTATTTATAGTTTATGTTTGGTGTTATAAACAGCAAGGTCAAGTAAAAGTAATATTTCATAATTTACCTGTCGTGAAGACTGGGACGATTGAATATAACACCACATAGTGTTTTTTTATACTTTGATGGATATAGCCGTAAGGGACCATAATGAAATGTGTATATATGTAGAAATTTTTCATCTAAATTGAATGATGATATCATCAATTACGTCGTTGGCAAATTCCTCTGGATGATCAGGAATTAGAAAGATTTGAGGCAGGTATGCAGAGAAGGAATTAAAGGATTGAAGGTCTAGTCTGAGTTGTTATCGTAAGGTTAGTTTTTAATAATGAAATATCAGCTTCATCGGACCAGTAGCTGTTATTGACATCGCTTCAGGCTTTGCCAAACAAAGATTGAACACGTGGATGGCAGGAAGATTTATGGACTTCTGGCAGAAGCTTCCAGGATTAGCTCACTCCAAGCCGTTTATTCACCCTTCGAAGTTTGATACCAAACAGTTGTTGGACTGCAGTAGGGATGCCCTACGATGTCTTACAGGCCTTCTTACAGGTCACTGTCATTTGAATCATATGCAGAGACTCGGACTGTCTCGGAAGACAGTGTGTGTCGCCTCTGTTTGGAAAATGATGAAACAGCAGAGCACATACTTTGTGCCTTCCCCGCTGGGGACCGAATCAGGCTTTTAGAGTTCAGCAGGTCCGTACTCTTACCATGTGACCTGAAAGAACACACACCATAGAAATAAATATGCTTCGTTAAGAAGCTGGGTTTATTTGGTCGAGTGTGAATAGGTGTGCGCCACAATAAACCCTTGCGGGTTGCGATGGACGGTCGAATAGACCTACTCACTTTTGACCTAACCCAACCTCATAAAAACCACATGATATAATCGCAAAAACCGTAAAATAACCATCCGCAAGAACTCGGTTGAGCTCATCATGTTGATTTTCAAAAGAATTAATTGTTTACTTGTTTGTGAGTCGATCACTTATTTCCAAAATCTATTCAATTTTCGCAGTAAAGCGAAACTTTATTCATCAGGCTGCTTGTAATTTCTGGCTTTGATTGCAACCTGAAGAAAATCTTGCTTGAGTTTTTGTTTTCGAATGTTGGCAATATTGGTAAAATGAGAAGGTCACTGTGTTAGATTGGAATAGTAGATTCCCGGTATATATACAAGATTGATTTTTAAGGAAATTGTTGTTATGTGTAGGATAAAACTGTGTGTAATGTTGGAACTAATTTTTTAAATGCGTTGACAAAAAGAGTAATAAGTTCATATTCGTTAACATTGAGAATCTGTACTGCGGCTTCTTGAGCCGCTTTGGAATTTTACACATAAACTGGCTGAATATCACAGAAAAATACTCTTATTAATTTTAACTTTTTTTTTTCAGGTAAGTCGAGACTTGACATACCCTACTTGTGTTGTGTAAGTACCGCATTTTACTTCTGGACATTGTCAGTTTTTTTATTGCTTTTCTGGTGGTAGGAAAAGTGCCTCTTTTGGAGAAAGATCAGTATTTCATCACTTGACTGTAGACATAAATTTTACCGCATATTTTTTCAAGCTGCTTCGGCAACATAGTTATAGTGAATCATTGTTTCTCCTTTAAAAAATTCTTCATGGTGATATCTGTGAAAGGAACCTGCTACTCATCCATTCCAACCTATATATTACATTATTTGTTATCAAAATATCAGCTTTGCTTAAATGAGTCCGGTGGATCTGGGGCTACCAACCTACACCCAGAATGTTATGGACTGCCCAGAAAGTTCTCAAAATCCAGAGATCAAGAACCAGTGATCGTAGCAACAGCTCGTGAAGGAAAGGTCAATATTTTGGCTTGAATATTCACCAAGGATTCAGCCTTGAACCACAAAGGAAATGCACCTCCTTAAATATTCACAGATACCTTATTGACAAGAGATTGAGTCCGATTGGAAAACAGGCAGACTAAGCTTAGTCGTCCATTGAAACCGCATTCGGTCGAAAACTCATTTGACCGTAATACAGCCGAACAACAGACTGCCGACAATATAACCGAAAGACCGTCTATTGGAGCCGACGTTCGGCCGTCAGTTACCAGTTGAATGTCCCGAGCTACGGGCTATTAAAATGGATGTGGAGAAATTATTTGATACCCGTGTAAAGAAACAGGGAAAAAAATACTCTATCTATCCGATTTTTGCAGAAAGGTGTCGCCTTGTTTAGTTTCACCATTTACATACCAAGCTCCAGTTGTTAGACTGTTCGGCCGAATGAGACCGAAAAATCCCATTTCTATCGGATTGGACCGGCGCGGCGGACGGCCGAACAGTAGTGTCCAGCGGACGAGCTCCGATGGTTTCTCTTGTAAAGCTTGTCCGGCACAGCACGGCACGGCACGTCCCGTCAAAATACGGATAGGATTGGAACAATGGAAATGGATGGAACAGCGCCACTAGCCCGGCACGGCACAGCCAAGATCGTCCGCCGCCGGAAAGGATTTCAGCTCTTCGATCTGAAATACTGGAAACATTTCTTCTCGTGTTCTATCAGATTGTTGAAAAGATGATGAATCTCTCCCAGATTTGCCCTCTTTTGATAAACGGGATGGACCGACAACATTCTTTTTTGTGACTATTTTCCTTGAAATCGAACAAACAGCACCTTCAGTATGCTGGTTGTCGCTTGACAAGTGGGCGATGCTACCACCCGTCGCCATCGGGCGACGGACAGCGCCGTGCTGTGCTGTGCCGGACAAGTGAGCGACAAGCTTTATGGGATCGTTGTACGGCCGAAGAGTGTTCGGCCGAAAACGGTTCCAGTGGACGGTCGGTCTAATCCTTGACGTCAAAACTATTATGTCTGTGTAGGTTTTCAGTGTCACAAAATTCAAAATATTGATTTCAATTACATATTTTAATTATTTCACTTACTACCGTAGCTTGCTAATTGCTAATGCTTTTTAGCTTGTGCCGAATCGCTGTTTGAACTGATATCAATCTGAATCTAATCTGATCTTTGTGCGACTTCGACGGGATAACTAGTCGTTCTGGATGCTTTCCAGCGAAATGATTTCTCGGAAAACGGTTGTTAAACGCATCTGTGATATAAGCGGATTGTTGCTGTGTTCTCAATTCCATCAAAGCAACAGTTCGTATTTATTATCAGAGATGTCGAGATGTCAGCTCTATCGAGAGATAATGAGAATACCCGACAGACACTTTGGATATATTTGAAACAATCGTCTATGTGTTCTTCTAGGAGTTCTCGAAAACATGTCTATCGGCCAATTCTGTAACGCATAATGACGAACCAATTTTCGTCTAAAAAGATTCTCTCTAAACATTTCAACTCGTTATAACTTTGGTAACGATTGACAGAAAATGCGTTCGAAAATTGGACTAGACATAGTTAAGTTAACAAAAGAATTCGAGTAAATGTGTGACATTTGTGAATTAAAAGGACAGTGTCGGAGACTTGATTTCAAAAACAACTCATTTTGAGTCATCCGAAGGAACAATTCGTTCAGGCCAGTCTCAACTTCCTACACTGTAGGTTAATGGACTGCCACCCATTAGGAAACAACTACTTTCCCGGCTAATACCACGAAGGGCGTTGGATTATATCCGACAGGTGTCAGTGCAGGATCCTTCATTGAAGTTATTCCTGCATATGCTGTTGGTGGCGATACAACTGCCGAAATAGATTTTCAATTATTGGGACACACTTGCAGACAGGTTTCGGGATGTTTGGCCAGTGTGTTCCAATAATTGGAAATCTTTTACGCCAACAGCCTATGCAGGGATAACTTCAGTGAAGAATCTTGCACTGACACCTGTCGGATATAATCCAACGCCCTTCGTGATATTAGCCAGGGGAGTAGTTGTTTTCTGATAGGTGTCAGTCCATTAACCTACAGTGTAGGGAGAGACTGGCCTGAACGTATTGTTCCTTTAGATGATTTGATTTATAGCCAGTCTTCAAGTATGCCCACTGTCTATATGTGAAAAACAACTCTTTTTGACATTTCATTCATTAGGCGTCAAAAGCTGGGTTACCGACAGTCGTTCGATAAGGAATACCCCACAATAACGACCTTCGTGGAATAGATTTATTTGAGTTGGCACCAGACGAGGATTGTCCTAGTTATTTATTAGGTTTCTATCAGATATGCCTTTGTGGTCGACAGTTTCTTGATTTTCCAATCACAAACGATGGCGTACCTCAGGGTTCAATTTTAGCACCGATCTTGCTTAACATGTTTGTATCAACTTAACATTTTCTGTCCAACGCATCTTTGAATAAGACATTATTTTTCATGTACAGCCTCTTTATCACACATTTTTCAGTCCATCACTCTTAACAACAACGAAGCTATGCATCCGTATCAATGATAATAGTGAAAATATTTAATAATGGCGCTTTTCTTTGGAAAAGCAGAGTTGTCAAAAAACGCATTCTCTTTATGAAAATTTTCGGTGACCTTTCAAATACCTGACCATTGCGACGGGTTATTTTTTATCAATCAATAAGTTCACGGAATTATTTGCGTTAAGGTTTTTCTTACTAGGTCCAGCATTCCGCAGTTTGGAGAAAACCTGAACTATCTTCTGTCTCAGTTCCAGGGTAGTATACCATGAAAGTGCAACTACATAAACTTTTTCAGCTTTCTTTGACGATGCCTTGAGCAGTTTTTCGATTGTTGTTGTCCTTTTACTCCAATGTTATCTTAGTCGATTGTTCCCATAGCCGAATTTTTCCTTTATGTAGAATTCAAAAATGCGCTGGACTAGGGTTGGTTATATTTGAAAAACAATTTGATAAACAGTTTTTTAGGAAAAGAATTCAGACAAGTGACCTGCATATTTGGGTCATTTGAGCCCAAACAACCTAGGTATGCATTTCAGTTGAACATTTAATTTGTATCTGTTACTATAACCTTCTTGTGGGTATGAAAATGATAACGGTGAATAAAATTACCTGAGAAAATCTCAGTTGTCATTACGAACATTATTGAGGAAATATAGTTGTAACTCGTGAGAATTTGCATCGCTTTGTTTTCTTTTTATGTTTTACATTTTCCATATTTTCTTTAATTCAATTACAGAAAGAGGTCAAGTAAAGTGGCGATTCAGTTCAGTGATAAAGAACATTTCGATCTTGAGCTCATTCATCTTTTCTTTAGCATTGTTCTTGTGGAACGATTATCCATTTTGCTCTTCGCGAGATACCCCACATCAATAAGCCCTTCGATCCTTTCCTTCTGGAATCGGGTCTTATTAAACCGCCTTCCAAAGTAATAATATTCATAATGTCTTAATGGGGTTATCGCACGCCAAGCAACAGCGATTAAATCGAGCAGAATAATAACGGAATCGGTGGATTATTTTCCGCTACGAAGCACGACAAAATTTCAATTAAGTATCAGCGTGATTTGAGTTCGGTGTGCGAGGCCCTTTTGTACAGGGTTGGTTCTTAATGGAAAGGGCAACGATTTTGTGATTGTTTCTACTGAGTAAGGGCGCGTCCCTGGAAGAACGAGGTACTCGTAAAAATACCTATCAACCGAAATCATGTTTGATCCCAGGGTAATTTTTCAAAATATCTTGTTTCCGGGCAAGTCAGGCAACTCAAAAGTAGCGCTTCCTAAATAAGAATATTGACCTTTAATTTATTCACTGGTCGTTTATTGACTGCTCGTAGCTCTTTGAAAGAAAACTGCAACTTATACACACCTTTACAATTAGCAGGCAATGTGAAAATTATTAGGTATTTCGTGAATAATTGTGGGGTATTTTCAATAATGTAATATTTTCTAATAATTATTGAAATTTGAAGATTAACTATATATTTTTCTGTGAGCTGTGATACTTCATCAAATTTGTAGAAATTTGCCTCAAGTGGTACCTTGGATGTGAGACTAATCACAATGGTTTTTTGGGTTAGGCGTAGAACCTGTATGTTCAATCTTGCACTTCTGTGTCCATTGCTCCTTTATTTTGTGTTAGGATCTGTTATTCTTTCCATTTTATTTCTTGCTGCTCCTTGAGCCTTTCTTCCCATCCGTTGCCCCGCTGGGGACCGAATCAGGTACTCTTACCATCAGACGTGAAAGACAACTCACCATACACCTTCGTTGAGAAGCTGGATTTATTTGGTCGAGTGTGAATATGTGTGAGCCACAATAAACCCTTGCAGGGTGCGATATATTGGCCGTTTGTTATTTATATGATTTTTGAGCAACTTTTAAACTCCTGTCCCTCCTGATGATTATATGATAATGTTTTAGAGTAATAGGTGTAATCTGATTTGCATTGGGAAATCGTATGGCAACAGCGAGTCAATGTAATGAATCGCTTTTCAGTCTACAAATTTATTGCGCTTTCAACGAAAAAATGAATACCCGTGATATCTTATTACGCCCGTCCCACTTGTGGTGTTTT